GAATAAAATAGACTGTGAGCTGTGTGTAGTTTACTGGCTCCTTTGCTTTTTTCCATGTTAAGGAAGCATTTCATAATTCTGGTGAGTGAAAGGAATGTTATTATGATAACTTTGAACCTACTTTCTTTTATCAGTACTTTTAAGTAAATCATTCCCCAGATCACTGCTTTCAATATTATCTGAAGCAAGTCAGTCATAACATGTCTGCCAACTAGTCACACAGACCACTCCATGAGCACCTGATTGAGTTCTGCTGCTGGTAATGAGGAGCCATGGAGGTTCTGAAGCTAGGGTGAAGCTGGTTAAAAGACAGCAGCAGTGTAGAGGAAAGTCTTGAGAAGGAGGTCTTCCTTGCAGGAAGACCAGGGGAGAAAGGATAAGATCAAGAACTCAGAAGGGGACAGTGAGTAAGAACGGAGGGAGCAGAATGGAGTGATTTTGTCCTCGTCTCACACAATAGGTAGCGTAGAGTCAAAAACACACAAGAAGGATGGGAAGAAAAACTGGAACATTATTGAGCTCTCACCTGGACGTTTTATGAATGCAATAAGAAACAAAGAGACAGGAGCACCTCCAAGCAGAGCCATGTCCATGGGTAAGGAAAGTTTAAGAAGTTCCCTAAAGCTATTCAGCTCCTTCTAACCAGTGACATAGGGGACCCGTTCTGGTTGCTTAAAGAACTACTGCTTTTCCTGAAGTCCTAGGGAAGGTTGATTTCCAACTATATGAGATGCTGGAATTAATGGACTCCAGCTTCCTTTGGAGGGTGGGCCTCTTGCCAGGCCTGATTAGCCCAGCTGGCCTGTCCACTATTCCTGTTTTATTGCTTCCTTTCTCATTAAGGAAGGTGTTGGGTTTGGATAACCATAAACAACATGTCTGCTGCTACAAGGCTACCATCACTTGCATAGCCAGTGGCTGAAGCCAGGCTCTCAGGAGTCTTTTTTAAAGACAAATCACAGTTTTGGAGAGACAGGAAAGGGAAGCCCGGGTTTAAAAATGTGCCACAGAAATGGTTATTTTCCTATTTTTAACTGTTTTCTTTAAAAAAAAAATATTCAAAGTGGTAGGGAAAATAGAACTTTTTAAAAAGTCAAAGCTATTTTTCTCTCTCACCTCTCCTCTTTCAATATAGCCACACGAAACAGAAACAGTCCTGATGTCCTCAACACCTGAAATGAGACGGAGGGAGCTAGAGGGGTTCCCTTCATACCACCCTGTCCCCAGCAGGCCAAAGGATTCTGAGCAGCCACTGGCAACCAGCTGAGCTGTTCTGTGGGTGCTTCAAAGCTCCCTTGTCCACATGGACCTAAGAGCTGAAGTCTGTGGGGGATAAAAAAACTGCTGAAAGGGAGCCAACCATTCAACTCCCCTGTCCCTTCACCTCAATAATCTCGGCATTTGGGCATTTGTACTTCTCCCTTGCCAGACAATGTGTTCCTTAAAATAACCTTCATTGGCACATCATTTTTCATCAGGAACTGTACCCTTGTTCTTTGCAGTCCTCCAATTTTCTCTCTTCTAGCACAGGGGGAATCATATTTACTCAGAAAACCGCAGTGTTGAACTATAGCCCTCAGTTTCTTAGAGTTTCACTTTCTAAGGGAATTTTGCAGCTGGTTCCATCTGTTTTTCCTGATTTTTTCCTCTACTCTTCTGCCCATACTAATTTCCTCTCTAGGCCCAACCAGCACCCAACCGCAGTACCTCCCCCACACATTACTATGATAACCTCTTCTTGTCTCACGGTAGACACAATATTCATTAAGCCTTTTACGGTGTCCCAAACAGTAAATGCTCAGAAAATCCTTGCTGATTCACACCAACTACTCCAAGAACCTCTAACATTGATACTTTCTAGGAATTTCTCTGCCATATAACATTTCATATAACTGACTTGCTTTTGTATCAAAGCACTCTCTCCTTGTGTTTTTTTGGCTCATGTATTAATAGCTTCTGTAGAAAATGATAAGAATTGCTCCTGTGCTGAGTGGATTAACAAACTACTCTGAATGCTAATTACATTAATGTGAGCTATCCATGTATATTTTAAATTCTAAATAGACCTTTCCCTGCTACTTAGCACACATCTGGTCTATTACCTACCACCACTGCTGCTAAGTCACTTCAGTTGTGTCTGACTCTGTGCAACCCCAGAGACGGCAGCCCACCAGGCTCCCCCTTCCCTGGGATTCTCCAGGCAAGAACACTGGAGTGGGTTGCCATTTCCTTCTCCAATGTGTGAAAGTGAAAAGTGAAAGTGAAGTCGCTCAGTCTTGTCCAACTCTTAGCAACCCCATGGACTGCAGCCTACCAAGCTCCTCCGTCCATAGGATTTTCCAGGCAAGAGTACTGGAGTGGGGTGCCATTGCCTTCTCCAACCTACCTACCTACCACCACAAACGTGTCTGTATCCAAATAAAAGCAACCAATTCTAATGTTAGATCGCCGATTCCAACCTCATGTACTTTGGACAAAGAGAGTGATCTAGGTAACATTTGCTTTACTTTAAGAGCTTATCATTTGCCAGACACCTTTCCAAGTGCTTTACAAATATTAGGTCACTTAAATATAAAAAAAATGCACATTTATTATTCTAATTTTGCAGCTAAGGAAATTAAGGCACAACAAGGTCAACAGTGCGTCAATAATGAAACCAGGATTCAAACCCAGGCAATGTGTGTGCAGACCACTAACTGCTAATCAATTCTACCTCACTAATTATAAGAAGTTTTAGGTTGTCTCCTTCCAAATCTTTCTGCAAGTCAGAAGAGAATTCAAATGAACTTTATTTACACAGTGTCTGTGTCCTTGATGAGTCCTGTGTACACAGCAATTTATAAATCCATCCATTTTCTGGAATCAAGTCCTCATTTAATGGAGCTTAACTAAAGTCCTTATATAAAGGTGCTAGAGGGATTTCCTGACCTTCATCTAAAACATCAACCCTCCTCTTCTTCCAAGGCACTATCTGTCAGATTAATAGATTTTATTTTCCTCCTAGAACTTCCTATTTCTAAATTTATGTTTGTGTGTTTATTGTCAGTCTCTTCCCCTTGACTAAAATATGAGCTGATGAGAGCAGAGACTTGTGTTTCATTCACTGTTTGCCCCTAGAATTCTGCTTGGCATATAGCAGGTGCTCAATAAATATTTACTGAACAAATGAATAAATCCATTTGATAATGCCTTCATGTTTTTGCATAGACAGCCTTAGCCCTTCTTTGGTAGTGATGGTGGTCTAGTTGCTAAGTTGTGTCCAACTCTTGCAACCCTATGGACTGCAGCCTGCGAGGCTTCTCTGTCCATGGGATTTCTCAGTCAAGAATACTGGAGAAAGTTGTCATTTCCTTCTTCAGGGAATCTTCCCAACCATCAAGCCTGGGTCTCTTACGTTTTAAGCAGATTCTTTACTGCAGGCGGTCTCCTGCAATGCAGGCAGATTGTTTACCAACCAAACCACCAGGGAAGCCCAGTATAATTTTAAATATTCCCCTTAACTAATTTCACCTACTCCTGTGGTCTTTTTCTACCATTCCCAATATTTACCTCTAGCCAAGATCTTTTATTTTTGAGATGACCAAATCTGGCTTTTTTGTCTCCTGTATTTGTTGTTTATGTTATTTTAATTTCCATAATCAAATTTACTCTTGACCTTTGGGGAATAGGAGCCAAGGGGATCAGCACAAGCATTACAAAATACTGATACATTTTGACATTTTGTATTTAGAAAGGACTTAGATTTCATGTCCTCCAAATATGTCACTTTATATGCTGGTGAAGAAATTGAAGTCCAAGATAATGATTCTCCAAGTGTCTCATGGCTGCTATGTGGTAGAACCCCAGATTTTCAGGATTTGTTCCCCTTTCCACATCAGTTATCTACCTATTAGGGTCTACCTCTCCTATTGTTAATGATACATATTACACACTCAGCTCTACTGAGATACAATTCACATATCATGAGACATACCCTTTAAAAGTTTGAAATTGAGTGGTTTTTAGTATATTCACAAAATTGTGAAACTGTCACTATTTAATTTTAGAACATGTTCATTATCCTCCAGAGAAACTCCATACCTATTTGTAGTCACTCCCCATCTTCCCCCTCATTCTCTTTCCCTTTTTCCAACCCTAGAAATCCATTAATCTACTTTCTGTCTCTATGGATTTGACTGTTCTGGACATTTCATATAAATGAATATAATATGTGGCCTTTTGTGTCTGGTTTCTTTCACTTAGCTTAATGATTTCAAGGTTCATCATCTTATACTATTTACTTTTTTGTTTTATTTTGTTTAACAGAACCACTTTTCTCTAACTGCCTTAATCACCTCTATATCTGTCTTCAAACAAAAATTAAACTTTGAATATCCTAGAAGCCAAAGGCAAAAAAGAAAAACAGAAATATATTACTAAGTTTCAGTTAATCTTAAAGGGAACACAAAAGTTTATCAAAAGCATGAATGTTTTAAGGGGAATCATTACTGTAGACCTTTACTTTCACCATATGACTCTGTTTTCTAATCGTTTAAGGTATTTTTCTTGCTTTCTTATTTATAGTGTTTCCAGCTTTCCTTGGATTGGGCACTCTAAGCAATGTCAAGAAGAGGGAGAGGACCACCTTTTTCTAGGTTCAAGGGGAAATTCTTCTTTAATCTTTAGCAGCATTCCAGTTTGACCTCCACTATTAATTTTCAGTGAAGAGTGTTGCAGTCAACCTATGTCCTAGAATATGCACTTGTTCTCCTGTCACAATGTCACTTTGGTTCACTTAGGAGAAAAAAATGATCATTTCTTTGAATGGACATGTATTGATATTAATATGTATGTGTGTGTGTGTGCCAGCTATATGGGCTATATCAACATGAAAAAAGCACAGATCATGACCACCTGGGAACAGAGGATCAGAGGAACTTTAAGAGAATGTATGGTCCTTCTCATTTAGGAACAGTTTTAAAAAATCTCATTATCTCCTTCTGCTTTTGTTGTGTGAACAGGTGGTTAACACATACACCCCAGGAAAGAAGATTTGGCTTGAAGGTGTGGTGACCACCTCAGCTGGAGGCACAAACAATCTATCAGATTCCTATGCTGCAGGATTCTTGTGAGTAGAACTTGCAATTTCACTCCCAAGGGCACTTAGGAAAGGACAGTGAAATTGCTTATTATTCTGCCCTTTGGATGGGGTGGTGGTTCGTTTCCTACTGAAAATTCTTCATCTGTTTCTTTGTAAATGTGTTTAAACACTCAACAAACAGTGATTAGGGACTTGTCTAAATAATAAGATCTCAGGTACAGGCATTAGAGCAAGAATAATAAGGGTAGTTATTAGTAATAAGATTAATAATAAGTAGATAGTAATAAGAGTTTTATTTTATGTCTACAGTGCAAAATACGGTACAGGCAGCATATATTTTTTTTCTTGTAATTTTCAATAGAGTTCTGGGAGATAGGTAAGAATAAGAAGGAGGTTTTGCCCTTTAGAAACTTAGACAACTGGAAGAATAGAGATGGAGGATAAGAAAAGCTATTGGAGATAAGTTTCATCATCCTAATTTTAACTGCATAGTGCTTACCATGTGCCGAGGGCATATTTAATAGTGCTTTGTGCATATTTAATGATTTAACAACCAGTGTAGTAGATGCCCTTATTTTATAAGAACCCACTAAGATAGATGCAATTATTAATTAATGGCAGAGGTTGGACTCAAGTTATAGCAGTCTGCTCCAGAGGCCTACCTTTTTGCCACTAAATTATACCACCTTTCTTCCTTCCTTATATGGTTTGTCCACACCAGGGATAGACATGCAGAAAAATCAAGAATTTCTGACTGGGAGTATCAGGAAGGACTTTGTGGAGGAAGAGGCAATTTAGTGAACATCGAGAAATTTCTCTAATTTCTATAGGTGAAGGTTGTTGCTGAGGGTAGTGGGGAGCACTCTAAGCTGAAGGAACATTATGAAGAGAAATGATTAGTGTGAGAAAGCCTCAGTATCTGAAGGGGTTAGTGAAGGTATGATTCTGCTAAGCCGCTTCATTTGTGTCTGGCTCTTTGTGACCTTATGGACCTTAGCCCACCAGGCTTCTCTGTCCGTGGGATTCTCCAGGCAAGAATACTGGTGTGGGTTGCTGTGCCCTTCTTTACGGTATCTTCCCCACCAGGGATCAAACCCACATCTCTTATGTCTCCTGCATTGGCAGGTAGTTCTATACCACTAGTGCCACCTGGAAGCCCAAGGAACATTGTGAGGAGAAATGATTAGTGTGAGAAAGCCTCAGTATCTGCAGGGGTATGATAATGTTAAGTCACTTCAGTTGTTTTGACTCTTTGTGACCCGATGGACTGTAGCCCACCAGGCTCCTCTGTCCATGGGATTCTCCAGGCAAGACTACTGGAGTGGATTGCCATGCCCTCCTCCATGAGAGCTTCCTGATTCAGGGGTCAAACTCGAGTCTCTAATGTCTCCTGCATTGGCATGCAGGTTCTTCACCACTAACACCACTTGGGAAGCCTAGGTATGATTAGGGACAGAGTTTTACCACCAAATCATAGAAGACCTTAAAAACCAGGGATGCAATATGAGGCCTTATTCTATACTCAGTGACAAGCCATTGACTATTACAGAGGAGGAGTGAGGTCCTACAGAGATCTGACCTGTACTGAAAACACTGTGTTTGATAGTTTGCACCAGTTTGGAGAAGCAAGAGATAGGAAGATGAATTTGAAGGCTACTGCAGTCATCTGGAGAGCAACTTAAGCCAGAAGCACTTAAGCCAAGGACCTCCTCCTGGCCTGCCATTGTCATGTGACAGGGACAAACCACTCAAGACCACAGACTGACCAAGTGACCTGTTTCTGGTCCAATCTAGTCTGTGGTCCTGATTTTTCATCTGAACAAGGTTCTCCTAAGAACTGCAGCTCTGCCCTCAACTACACATTTCACTACTAACAGCCACTTCTAATTATATAGCTATAGTTCCTCTCCATTAAGGCAGCTTCTTTATTACATTTGTGAAGGGCAAATCTGGCTGGTCAAGCAGATGTCTTTTAAGGTGGAATCCTGGCAGATGCAGATGAAGATGATGAGTCAGTGTCTACATGATACGCCTGGGGTCTTCCAGCCCTGTGTCCTCACGTGGAGCGGCACGGAGAGCGTGTTCAGTGTTGCTGAGGGTCTTCTTTCAAAACTACTGTCCTCAGCAGGTTTCACTGTGACAGTTGGATTGGCTGCTGGAGGCCCCTTGAATCAGAATATGGCCTTTGCTTAGCGATCTCAGAAGAACTCAGCTGCAGGGCCTAGCAAGTAGTCCATCTGTACTGAGTGTTTTCATGAACATTCTTCCCTTTAGAGAGTGATGTGAAATGAGAAATAACACAGACCATCATGGAGAGAGCTAGAGAGAGACCTGCCTTTTCACTAGCATCAGCTAAATATCCATAGATCTCCACAGTCACTTTTGTGAACACAGATTAACATCGTTGTTTAGATTTTGGTGTAGTTCAGATGTTCCGTGCTTGGTTGACAGATCAAATGAAACCCAGCTCACTCTGCTCCTGGTCTTTTCTCTCACCTTTTTATCGTCCGCGGGTTGTAAGCTCTACTGGCAGTGCCCAGAAACATGCTCCTTGAGTCCAGTTTTCCAAGGGGCATAAACTGCTTCCTGGAGAAAAAAAATGTACAGCATTCTAGGAAGCTCCAGAAGGCTAGCAAAGAGTTGGAAAGACAGCATTTTACAGCCCTTTTTCAATTTATGGCATAACTATAAGCTTACCAGGACACATTCACATGCATGCATAAATTAGAATTCTCTGCTGCCAATATGCAAGGGTGGTTTTCCCAGTCAGGACTTTGAGATTCTTTGATGCCCTACCCTTGGCATACTACTGTGTCTGCAGCACCTAGTCATGTCTGTCATGTAATAGATATTCAATAGTGTTTTGTGGATAGAAATTAATAGCCACAGAAGCATCCTTGGTGAGATGTGCCAATTATCTTGCCACTTTTCGCTAATTAAGCATAAAAGAGGGACATGGAACACCATTTATTTCCCCTTCTCAGGAGACTTATTATTACAGAGGAAGATGAAGACAATTCCAGAACTAACCATTCTATTCTGAAAAGCTATGGAAAAGCAGGGGCTCTGGCCATAGTCATTGGTTAATGCCCTAGTCCTGGGATGTGCATATAGGATGAGGGTTTAAAGAGGAGAATGAATATTCTTCTCTCTCTCTTTAGAGTTCCTTCAAAAACTACCCATATACTCTCAGAAGAAAATCAAAAAAACTCAGATTTACTAATTAGTACTTTTTTTATTTGTTGTACCTTTATTATTTATTATTTATTTATTATTAGTAGTACCTTTATTTATTTATTGACTATATATTCTTTATATTTCACTGTGCTAGGCTGTGTAGAGGTCACAAGTAGGAATTTGATAGCATTCTTATAAATGTGTAGGTACAGTTATTTACATACCCAGTCCTTTCAAATGACTTATGTGGTCTCACAGGCATTTTTTTTTTATCTATTCTTAATGCTAAGAACAAGATCTAGAATTTACAGTTGATGAATTCATATTGTTGGATGAATAATAAATGAATGAACAGATGGGATCTTATCACATGTACAAATACAAGTATTGATATCCAGATGCCATTAGAGATAGGGATTCACATACATGTGATTATGTATTTACTTATCATTTTGTCTCTTCATTCATTCAGTAAGCCTGGGGATAGAAGGGTGAGAAAGACAAACTTGTTTGTACATAGAAATACTTGTTGTTTGTTAGAACCAACGGTATTTGTGCTCTTTCAGTGGAGAGAACACTGACTTAGGAGGCGTCAACCCAGAATTCATGTTACAGTTCTACCACAGGTCAACTAAAACTGTGTCTCAGAGGCTAAAGCAAAGCTAAACCTGTTCTCCTAATTTTACAGTGTTGCCAAATGAACAGAAATAAGAAAGACAAGTAGCTTAGCCATGTGATACTCCAAAAGCATTTTCAGTTCCCTGGGTTACAATGTCCCAATCTGAACAACAGCAACAAAATGTTTCTACTATATTTTTGTCAGATTTCCTTTTGGATTTATAACTTTTGTCTTTGCATTTTACTGTGTTTGCATGTGAGTTATATGTGATTCATTATCAGTAGGTATTTGTTAGTTTTATCAGAATAAAATATAATTCTCAATGTGGAAAAGATTCAAAAATATTTTAATATTTGTTCATAATGTAAAAATTAGCAGTGGTCTTTAGTGTTAGTAAGGTCACTGGTTTGGAGCTCCATATTATTTCAGATTTGGGGAATCATAACTATGCATGATTTGTCCCTAGTATGTAAATAGTGATTCTCAAAATCCTATAATCTGATTTTATCCAGATCAGTTTGAACTTAGACTGTTGAGCACCTATAGTATTCCAGAAACTGTGATGGTTGTTTGGGGTACAAAGCTAAAATGTGTCTATTCTTGATGCACTCATACCATCTGGGGAAAGACAGAGAACTAAGTAATTATCATTAAGTGGGCCAGCAGAAGGTGTGAATAAGAGTTTTTAAATGTATTGATTTTAAATGTATTGATACAGTATTTTTTCCCCTTGCTTTTCAGATGGTTGAACACTTTAGGAATGCTGGCCAATCAGGGCATTGATGTTGTGATTCGGCACTCATTTTTTGACCATGGATACAATCACCTTGTGGACCAGAATTTTAACCCATTACCAGTAAGCGTAAGACAAAGATTCCCAACTCCTTTTCCATGTCCTTCAGTTCTTTTGATCGTGCTCTGATCCCCACTGGGAGAATTTTTCTCCTTCTGTTACTCATTAGTTTCACAAATTGGACAGAAGTATTTTTGACCCATTTTACAGACTTTTAGCTTTACCTCCCAGACATACCCCAAGATATACACACATGTGTGTACATATGGGTTTATGCGTATACACATTTATGCATTTATATATATATTTATATATTTACCACTATTATTTTAACAAACCTTGTGTAGTTGAGATTCCAAATCTACTTGTGGCCTGTTTGAACTCTGCTTGAGAGTGAATTTTTCCAGATTGTTTTCTTTTAATGCTAATAGGAGACATTAGTTAACGTCAGATGCAACATGTTGAAAGCAGATGGGAGAGTGTTGTCCAAGATCAGATACAGTAGAAACCCATCCCTTGGAGAGTGGCTTAAGTGCACTTATACTGGATGTTGATCTCTGTGTGATGAGGGAATTTGCCCAGGGTGTCACCTACTCTAGGAAAGCAGAGGAAAGGGGAGGCTAAAGAAGAATGGCAAGAGCAGAGAGCTGGGTATGTCCAGTGACTTTATTGACTGATCAGAGAAATCCCACTTAGTCCAGAAAAGCTGTTCTTATCAAAAATATTATGTGAGTTATCCTCCTTACAGACATCTCGGTCATGATAAAAGGTGAGTCCTCTCATTAACCCGTAGAACGTCAGAGCTGGGATTCTCCTTGGAGATGATCCAGTTCCACCTCATGTAACAGAGGGACTGGTAGCCTGGGTTGGGGGAGGGGTGTGTAGTGCCAGCCCTAGTGCCTGCTCCTGTGCCCTGGCCCAGAACTCTTCCTACAGAATTACTGCTGCCCTGGGGTCCACAGTAAACAAACCCAGCTGGAACCCAGTGAGCATTCCTGCCCTTTGCTTCCCTCTGCCCATTCCCACCCTCCGTGTTCATCTCACCACCCTCACCCCAGCCCTTAACCACCAAGCCCAGAACAAAGGACACCTTGGCACCCAACAGCACCATTTCTGTGTCTCAAAAGAATCCCTCTAGTTAGTGTACTAAGGAATTATTATATCTCTGATTGTACATGACTCAAATTAAGTCACAAATACTAAAGCTGACTGGCACAGTTGCTTTTATTCACAAGGCCAGGATACCTCTCTCAGGGTGTGAGGGGGCTAGGGTGTGGAGGGATGGAGAGGAAGCTTTCAGTTTGGACCTGTAGGGGTTCTGTTTGTTCATTGTTTGTTTTGAGCTCATAAACTTGTGGTGATGAAACAAAATAATGATTAGAAAAGCATCTATGAAATGTAAGCACTGAACAAATACAATGTCACACAAATGTAAATATTTATTGACCATCAGGCACTGGGGAGGAGACTAGTAGTAGATAACCGCATAAATAGTAAGAGGGGATCAGTGAGGGCTTCTTTAGAGTGTGTGCAAGGAAGTCTTCTCTGAGAAGGTGACACTTCAGCCAAGAGTCCACCGACAAGAAGGAGCCAGACATGCAGATTTTTGCAGGAGGGCTTTCAGGCAGGGGAAGGGGCTGGCACAGATTCCAAGGCAGGAACAGAGTTGGCATGTTTGAGGAAATATAAGAGTGCATGAGGCCAGCTTGGGTCAGATCACACAGGGCTTTGAAAGCTAAAGGGAGTTTGACTTTTATTGTAATATGAAAAGCCACTTGAAGGTTTTCTGCAGGGAAGTAACATGATCTAACTTACATTCTTAAAAGATCACCCTGGTATAATTAATGCATCAAATGTTACTTATATGTTTAAAAATGTGGGTGTCTGCATGAGTGCTAAGTTGCTTCAGTCATGTCCAACTCCTTGTGACCCTATGGACTATAGCCCACCAGGCTCCTCTGTCCATGGGATTCTCCAGCAAGAATACTGGAGTGGGTTGCTATGCCCTCCTCCAGAAGATCTTCCTGACCTAGGGATCAAACCTGTGTCTCCTACATCTCCTGAAATGCAGGCAGATTCTTTACCACTGAGCCACCAGGGAAGGCCAATAATAAGGGTAATACCTAAAAATTTATAGGACACTTTCATATACAGCGGGCTTCCCTGATAGCTCAGTTGGTAAAGAATCCACCTGCAGTGCAGGAGACCCCAGTTTGATCCCTGGATCGGGAAGATCTGCTAGAGAAGGAATAGGCTACCCACTCCAGTATTCTTGGGCTTCCCTTGTGGCTCAGCTGGTAAAGAATCTGCCTACAATGTGGGAGACCTGGGTTGGGACGATCCCCTGGAGAAGGGAAAGGCTACCCACTCCAGTATTCTGGCCTGGAGAATTTCATGGTCTGTATTCCATGGGGTTGCAAAGAGTCAGAAACAACTGAACGACTTTCACTTCACTTTCATATACAGTGCATCAGTAATACTCCAAACATTCTTTCTTTCCCTCTGTTCATCTTTTTTCCTGTCTTTCCTTCTTTCCTTTATTCCTTCCTTCAAACATTCGAATCTCATTCACTTCCCTTGATCATGTACTATATGCTGAACACTATTTCTGACAATGAGCCATGATGATGAACCAAAAAGACAAGGTCCTTGAATTCCTGGAGCTTATAGTCTAGTGAAGTATACTAAGAAGTGGAAAGTATATATAAGATATATAAGAAAGTATATATAAGATAAGATATATAAAGTATAAATAAGATAACTGCTCTTGGACATTAATTGCTGTAAAGTGAGTCAGTTGACATAAGTGTGCCTTTATTTTGCTGAAGAGAAACTAGGGTTCTTTGAAGTTGTTTAGCAGCTTATCCAAGGTCAGACAATTAGTAAGAGCTGGAACTCAGAATTTTTCAGTTCAAAATGTTATTTACTTTTCAACATGCCACACTATTTCTAGCAGTACTCTCTTTGGTGTCTGTGATGTGGTCTGAAGCCACTGTTTGTCTCAGAATTGGGTTTAGAGTTGGGATCAGGCATCTCGAGGAACTGGAGAGAAGAAAACCTAGGCTAGAAGAAAGCCTATGATCTTGGGTGACTAGACAGTCTTGAGTTCCAGAGCTGGACAAACCTAGATTGCTTATCAAATCTCTCTGTACCTTTGCATGGCCAGCTGTAGGTTAAAGATGCACGTTCTCATGATTTTGTTCTCCCCAAATGAGAGATAATACAGGTGACTTTCTTTAAAAGCTTACCATGAGATATCTTGCTTGATAGGTAGTAACAGCACAGAGGTTCTTTGAAAGCTAAAACAAGCCCTATTGATTTAGTACAAAGGCTCAAGTGATCTGAGCAGCTGTATTTCTGGAAACACCAAGCTCTAATAAAGAAACTGTATGTAAAAGTACTTTAAAAGGTAGCAGGCTTTCTTTTTATCTTTCTTTGGGCTAATAAATTCTGCACCTTATAAGCAGAGAACTTGGCAGCTGGGAGAGTGTGTCCTAAGTCTCCTGGAAAGAATTTACTAGGTTAGACCAGGGCACCAATCTGACAGACCTTGCCAGCCGGCCCCTGGGATGTGTAATGGAGACACCTAGGAATCATACTGGTTGTCACTTCAGAGATTTGTACGGTTGAGGTCCAAACACTGCTGATAAAAACTTTGGATTTTACATTGTGATTAAATCTTCAAGAGTGTTAAGAGTTTGTGTGTGTTAGTCGCTCAGTCGTGTCCGACTCTGCGACCCCATGAACTATAGCCTGCCAGACTTCTCTCTCCATGGAATTCTCCAGGCAAGAACACTGGAGTGGATTGCCATTCCCTTCTCCAGAGTTAAGAGTTTAGGGCATTAATAAGTTGTTCTTTGGTTGCCTCCCAGAAAAATCAGTATTTTCTATTCCAGCTCCTTCAAATTCAGCATTTCAGGAAAAGATCTTATTAGCAAATACTATTTTTTCCTGTTGTTGTTATTATAGGGTCTTAGCCTAATGGCTCCTCAACTCATATACCATATTGCCACTCCACTGACCCAGTCAGCTGAGTATGTAGGATTCCAATCCAGTTCTGGAAAGGCCATTCCAATCTAAGGGAAGAGAGAATATTGAAGGTAGCTCTTTAAAAACAACAACAACAACAACAACTTATTTTTAGAAAAGATTGTTTTCCACTACAGCCCATGTTCTTTCTGGCTGTTCCTCTAGAGAAGTGCCAACTCTCCTCCTGTTGTGAGATTTTCCTTCTCCTGGGAAGGAGAGAACATTTAGTCCAGCAGTGCTTCATCACTCGACTCCCACCCTTTTCCCCTGACCCCCTTGCTGTTGGGAAAGAGGGAATGTGTGAGTCTCCACAGCCTGTCGACTAGTCATGGGCTCCCTTGGGAATAAGGGATGTTTGTGCAGAAGAGATCTGCACATTCAGTGGACATAGTCCAGACCCCACCAGCCATGGGCATTTCTCCTAAGCAAGGGTTTTGGAATTTAGCTTGCTGCTTTTTTTAAGAGCTTGATTTACAGAGCTTTCAGGGAAAGGAATGGTGAATTACTAGTCGACATCTTCTTAGCTCTCACGCTGACCTAGCAGATATAATTCAATTCAAAAAAGCATTGACACTTGAGATGTGTCTGGCTCTAGGCTAGGTATTCTGGGGACATGCAGATAAATAAGATTCAGTTCCCTCATCTGTAGAGCTAACAATCTGGTGTGTGTTTGTACTTGAGGGATTATAATTTAATCCTTTACTTAGGATGAAATAGAAAACAAGTTCCCATCGGATAGCCTTTTCTATACTGAGTGTAGTGGTAGGGATATTTATATTTACTGACAACATTCTTTTTTGCTGACTGTCCCTTATGAACAACAATAAACATTCACTTCAGCCCAGTGCACAATTATTGAACACTCGCTATGTATGTTGTTCTAGAATACAGTCAGTAGTCATGGATTAGTTTATAACTCGCTAGTCTGTGGTGGGATTGAACCTGTAGCTGTGGTTCCCATAGCAACATGGCTATTGGAAAGAAACTCTGCATCTTAATGTTATCTGCATAGCTCCATTAGGGATGAGAACCTT